TTTCGGTGCAGCAGAAGACGCAGCCAGTGAAATGTTCTTCATGAGGATTGATATCGCGTCTTCGATATCCTCTGGGCTGTTAATTTCGACGTTCAGGTTAATTCTTCTTTCGAGATCGGCTTTAAAAACATCAATACGGGAGCCAGGTGGTAGAATATATTCCCTCTTGGGATTATATTGCGGTGCATGATGTAGCGTCGCTACTACTGGAAGGTGATCCGATGCGAGCTCATATTTTGTTTCAACGGTGAGTCTGTTTAGGGCAATCCTGTTGACAATAAAGAAGTCTAGTGCAGAGGGGTTAAGCCGTGTGTTGTATGAGTAGAAAGTTGGCTCTCCAGTAGCAAGAACTTGGCAAGTAGTACTAGCTATGGCCTCTTGCAAACACCTTCCTCGCCTGCAAGATCTGGAATTACCCCACCATTGGTGTTTTGCATTAAAATCACCGCCTACAATAAACTTATCTCCTAAGGTTGCAAGCAATAGATCAAAGTCGGCCCTGCACCAAGCTTCATTGGGAGGAAGATATAGGGAGGAGACTTTGATGCTTCCACCATTCGTCGTTATAGTTACGCTGGCCGCTTGGATGCTTGTTTTTATAATTGGCTCATTCTGTGAATGAGCGATACTTGATCTAATGATGACTGCAGAACCACTTTTAGCGGTGCCACTGGGATGATTAGCGTAGTACTGGTCGTATCCTGGCAAATATGCGTTCAAGCCAGGACGCATATGCGTTTCGGTTATTAACATGATATCGATCAAGTTTGAACTTAGGAAAAGCCTGAGTTCATCATTGTTTTTGACCAGGCCCCGTGCGTTCCATAATCCGATTTTTAACAGCGGATTTAACATTTGGAGATTTAATATTTAATAATTGCTTTGAAGATCGGCTGCAAATGGTTTGAAACCTGGCTTTTAAGCTCAATTTGCCGAGTTGGTTCAAAGCCTGGCTGCCAAATTGGTTTGAAACCTGGCTTACATTTAGTTTTAGTTTTTCACAAATCATCTTGCTGCTGATTTATGTTCGCCTAGTACTTCAGATTTTGGATTTAAGCATTTGCAGGCGATTTACAAATTTTACGAAAGCCGCAGCCGCTCAGAACTTAGTTTGCAAACTGGCATCTTTACTACGTACTAGGCGAACATAATGCAGCAGAAAGATGATTTGTAAAAAATTAAAAACAAATGTAAACCAGGTTTCAAACCATTTGGCAGCTGGGGCTCAAACCAATTCGGCAACTGGGTTTGAAATTTGACTACCAAATTGGTTTGAAGCCTGGCTTACATTTAGTTTTAGTTTTTCACAAATCATCTTGCTGCTGATTTATGTTCGCCTAGTACTTCAGATTTTGGCTTTTAGCAAACGCAGGCGATTTACAAATTTTACGAAAGCCGCAGCCGCTCAGAACTTAGTTTGCAAACTGGCATCTTTACTACGTACTAGGCGAACATAATGCAGCAGCAAGATGATTTGTAAAAAATTAAAAACAAATGTAAACCAGGTTTCAAACCATTTGGCAGCTGGGGCTCAAACCAATTCGGCAACTGGTTTGAGCCCCAGCTACTAAAAGGTATGAAGATCGGCTAACACTAAGAATAGTGTAGCATCTTTTAGGCGGACGAATTTAATTTTAAATTTTTAAAAAAAATTAATCTTGCTGCTGCCTTCTGTTCGCCTGGTACTTCAGATTTTGGCTTTTAGCAAACGCAGGCGATTTACAAATTTTACGAAAGCCGCAGCCGCTCAGAACTTAGTTTGCAAACTGGCATCTTTACTACGTACTAGGCGAACATAATGCAGCAGAAAGATGATTTGTAAAAAATTAAAAACAAATGTAAACCAGGTTTCAAACCATTTAGCAGCTGGGGCTCAAACCAATTCGGCAACTGGGTTTGAAATTTGACTACCAAATTGGTTTGAAGCCTGGCTTACATTTAGTTTTAGTTTTTCACAAATCATCTTGCTGCTGATTTATGTTCGCCTAGTACTTCAGATTTTGGCTTTTAGCAAACGCAGGCGATTTACAAATTTTACGAAAGCCGCAGCCGCTCAGAACTTAGTTTGCAAACTGGAATCTTTGCTACGTACTAGGCAAACATAATGCAGCAGCAAGATGATTTGTAAAAAATCAAAAACAAATGTAAACCAGGTTTCAAACCATTTAGCAGCTGGGGCTCAAACCAATTCGGCAACTGGTTTGAGCCCCAGCTACTAAAAGGTATGAAGATCGGCTAACACTAAGAAAAGTGTTGCATCTTTTAGGCAGACGAATTTAATTTTAAATTTAAAAAAAAAATTCATCTTGCTGCTGCCTTCTGTTCGCCTGGTACTTCAGATTTTGGCTTTTAGCAAACGCAGGCCAATTTGGCCATCGGTCAAACTGATTTTTGTTTATCTATGAGTCCGCTATATGAGTACGTCATATAACCACCCTCTTCACCCCTCTCACCAACCGTACTAATAAATCCATTTAAAATTTATTTGAAGTCATTTTTATTTTCTTTTATTTACAAATTTAATGAATTAATAATTATTGTTCTTATTAATGTAAATTAGATATAACAAATTAAATATAGGAAATAAAATATGCACGAAAAAGGACATCCATCAGTATTATTAATATAAATTGTGTTATTATTATAATAATTATAATCAATTTCTTCGTTTTGCTCCTCGGGGCTTAAACATTCGTTTGCCATTCTGACTTTGCTCATTTGGCGAGCTGTGGGAAGTTCGAAAAGGACATCCAATTTCATGAATACATATACATATAAATAAATACATATAAATTTTATTATTATTGTTATAATTAATTTTTCTGTTATTATAACATAAGCAATTCCTTCGTTTTGCTCCTCGTGGCTTGAACTTTCGGTTGCCAATCTAATCAAGCCGACTTCTGATCAGAAGATTGCTTCTGCCGTTGGCTAATCGCAGGATCGTCCTTGGTGTTTTTCCAAGAAAAATGATTGTGGGGGGACGGAATTTCGTCAGCCCCATTGCATACTCTCTTCGGAACCTCTGACCACACACGGTTGTGAATCGGGGCATGGCTTGGATGGACAGATCCAATAAGCTGTTGGTATCCTCGGCCGCATTGACGGCCGGCGCATTACCTTCGCTCTCAAAGGACTTGTTGATTGCCTCATTCAGGTTGGCCAGCAGTTGGCGACGACGCACATAATTCGGATTGCGACGCACCAGAAAGTGGCAGGACTCGCCGCGGTTCATGCGTGTCGTCGTCCAGCACCAGAATGGTCTTGACTCCGGCGCGACGCACGGCCACCTCCATGGACAGATAAAACAGACGTGGATCGCGATGACGCATTTTGAGGCTGTAGAGAAAAAGAAAAAACAAACGAGACAATTTAGTTAAGCGTCGAAATTAAAACAACTTATTAACGGTAATTAAATAGACAAATCAATGTGACGTAGCTTAAAAAATTGAATAGTTAATGAAACATATAATGGGAATCATATTTTATTCCTACTCTACTTTTTGTGTTGCATTGTACTTGGTAAACGTAATCTGTCCAATATCTAAATTTAACTTATTATAATCTTTTGTTTTCAATTAAATTCAATTATACCCTGTACCCGTAGGGTAAAAAGGGTATATTAGGTTTGTGCAAAGTATGTAACATGCAGAAGGAAGCATCTCCGACCCCATATATTCTGAATCAGCATGACGAGAGAAATCGATCTAGACATGTCCGTCCGTCCGTCCGTCTGGATGAACGCGAGGATCTCAGAAACTATAAAAGCTAGAATAACCAAAGTTGGCATCCAGATTCTCCTCGGTCAATTCTAAGAAAAGTTATTAGCAAAACAAATTCTCGCCAGTACAACCCCCCAAGCTGCAGCAACAAGTTCGCTCTTCTTCTTCTTCTTTTTGCTGATGCTATGGGCGCATATAACTCAGTGACGGAAGTTTACTTGGGTACAGGGTATTACACTGTCGGGCTTGCTCAACTGTAGCGTTCTCTTTTGTTTGGCTTGATTTGTTGACGAAAATATTAAAAATATAATTTGTAAGCTGCAAAACATTAGTCAGTTCGTGAGCGAAAGCTTCTTTTATTTGTTAATAAAATGTTTTTTCGATAAGAAAAAATTAATGGTCATCGAAGAAATTAGTAATCTTCATTTATATCATTTTTAAAAACAAATATTTTGTGGGCTTATAACTTTTAAATTGTGTCAGTCGTTATAAATGCTTGAAACAGATAAGTAGGTTTAGATTGTTAAATCGTTGATTTCTCATAGCGATTGGGTGCTTTCGATGTTATCTTCGTCGTTCCAATTATCAGAAAAATAGTGTTGTCGTTAAGAATAAAAAACAATATCATTTTAAAATGTACACATGGCCCTCAAGTTGAAGTATTCTTCCTTCTTCAACTTGAGGCCCATTTCTTAAGCACTTCTTAATTCAAAGTATTCTAAGCGATTGAAGCAACTTTTTTGAACCAATTGATCAACATAAATACCTTAGAAAGCTAGAATTATTTACCTGACAATTTGACTCGGACGGAAATATAGAAAACAAAACATAAACTTGTCCTATTCTATTGTTGAGAGAACATTTTGTGTTGATCGATTATATGATAGAAGGAACCGCACCGAACCAATTATCCCTGCGATCATGGGGATACGAATTTGTACTTAAGTTTCCCGTTAGTTTACGAAAGTACACATTCAAATAAAAAACCAAAAGTTCTTGAAATAAATACCATGAAAATGAGGTGAGAAGAGTCAACAATGGGAATGTAATGAATGTATTGCCCAAACTATCGTACTTATACTATAGTATTATTCTTTATTTTATATGAAATTTGTAGCACACTTAGCAGTATTGTTGAACTAAAGGTAATGTTTGGGCTGAATAACACAATACTAAGTACGGTATTCGTAGGGTATTCGTCTTTATAATCAACTCTTTCGGTAGTTCAGCCACTTATGCCATTACTTGTATTCTAACGAATGAAGAAAGATGGTAAACTTTAAGGACACGCTTTTTAATTTTATTTGAAAATTGTCAATTAAATTCAGAAATCCAGTGTTAGTCAAACGATCAGCAGATTAGGCAACCAATCCACACAAGAATATTGCAAATTTTCGAAACTATAATAATAATAATTGATGTTGTTCCTTTTGAGTGCATAGACTTATAAAATATTTGAGTGTAGAATTCCAACAATAAAAAATTATCAACATATATCGCCCTCTCCCATTTGAAAAGTGCCCGGATTCATGACGACATAATCATCGCTTTCGCTGCGCACATCCTCCTTCTCCTCGTCAAGCAAACAGTAGATGTGATCGGTTTCCTGTTTGATCAGCTCATCGCCCAATCTCTTCCAGAATGGGCGACAACGATTCTTCCATTGGCGCAGATTGAAGAAGGCGCAATAGCGGGACTGCGAGGCCTTCAGCATGGCCATATAGAGTGGCGTTATCTCGTCGGCCTTCAGCTTGGCCATCAAGTAGACGGCCGTCTTCTTTCTGTATATGTCATTGAAGTCAATGTAGATGTTCTTGGCCTGCTCGTAACAGCGCTTGGCCAGGCTAAGTCTATGCGTGTCCTTCGCAAAGATCTTGCCCAGGGCAAGCAATATCTCTGCCTCGTGATCGCGATGATCGTAGATGCGTGAGAGACGTAGAGCTTTCTTGTAATTTACAATCGCTTCTTCGGGACGCTGGAAACTGCAGTTGAAAAGTTGGATTAAAAACCTATTTTCCGAATCACTCAAATGTGTATTTTCTGTAGAAAAGTGCTAGAGTTCAATATTAATTTAATTGAAAAAGTTGAATATTTGGCAAAATCGTAGTAGTGACAATAATTGTTTCTAATAAAAAAAAAAAATATAACTCTGAAAATCTATAAAACTAGCTAACAAGCTATCAGTCTCTCCTTTATAATCCCCTAAAAGTTTAAAGCTAATGTTATGTTTTCATTTCTTTCGATTAAAAGCGTATTATAGATTGATGTTTAGCTTACTTCTCTGAACACTGTCCCATAAAAAGATAATACTTAATGTTCAATTTCACAAATTTGTACTCGGTGAGCGCTAGAATTCGTGGCTTTATCTGCTCGAGACATTGCTTGGCGGCCGTAAAGTTGCCGCTCTCCATGAGAAAGGAGGAGCGCTCCAGAAAGGTGTCACAAAAGATTTCCAAATTCTTTTCGCGTCCAACTGCGATCGCATTAGGACTTAGCTTCTTTATACAAATTCCTCATACTCTTTCTTTCTGTACTTACTCTCTGCTATGAGGACCGTAGCTTTTCTGGCCAATTCGATGGCTTCATCGGGTTTCTGACGTACAATTTGTTTTCCCAGAATGAGGAGCTGGCGCGCCAACTTCTGGGAGACTAGTTCGTGCATCATCAGACAGCCGGGCGGCATATCGGGCTCGGCGCCCCACACATGGCCCCGCACCAATTCTAGGGTCATTTGCAAATAGGTGATGGCAGTGGGGCGCTGATTAACACTCTCCAGATACAAAGCATAGATGTAATAGATGCGGGCTATCATTTCGGCGGCATCGCGCTCCTCCCCATCCACGCTGTGGCACAGAGAGACAATCTTCTCCATGACGGCGACCAGCGCGTATTCGTAGACATGGCGATAAGGTTGGAGCAACATCAGCGTCTCGTAGAACAGAGTAAAGCTCTCCTTATAGCCCTTCAGCTTGTACTGCACGATGGCTAGCTCGGCCCGCTTCAGCTTATCGATGAGCTCGTTGAGCAGAGGACGATCGTCAATAATGCGAGCGCGAATGCTGACCGTCTCGTACAGCGCCTGCTCCTTTTCGGCCAGGCAGTAGAGGAATGCGGGCAGCGATTGGCAGCCCTCTCTGAACAGCTCATCCTGCAGGGCCTCATAGATGGGTCCTCGAATGCGACGCGCCTCATTATAAGTAAGTGGCACAATTGATTCGCGCACCTTCTGGCGATCGAATGTGATTTCACGGAAAGCGCGATGCGGCGTTTTTTCCTTGATTTTGTTCTCAATGCGTCTGATTTCATGGGCGCGATGCGACATTTTTAGATTTTTGAAATTATATATTTTCTTCTGGTTTTTAATAAGTGTAAGTTAATATATGAAAAATATATATAAACTTCAAGTAGTCGCCTGCTGAGTGTAACAGTTTTGAGGAAATTGTGAAAAAGCGAATCAATGCTAACAGACTGTTAATCCAATGTAAACACAAATCTTTTAACAATGGCTGTAAAACTGCTGGTGTGTAGCTAAAGCGGGGCACAACTGCTCTAGAACTATGGCTGAAAAGGTATTTCTTATCAATTAACAATGGTTCTAAAACTGCATTGCGTAGATTTTTAAAAATCTAACTACGTTTTAGAATTTAAGCGCCGGTATAAAAATTTAAATATCAAAAAATTAATTATAATACAAAACTAAATATTTTTTTAAAAACTAAAATATTTCTAAAGTATTCTTAAATACAATTGTTACATAGAATAATTGAATAATTATTCTGAATGCTTAGGAAATGTGGTTTTCTAATTTAAATAAGATTTATTTTTAATTTTATTCAAAATCAAACATTTCCTTTCGATTAGTTTAGATTATTGTATGAAATCTACTTATTTGCAGACTTTTGCTTCGAAATTTTAGCATTATCTTTAAGAACATGATAATGGGCACGCGCAAGAGTGTTTGGAAAACGTACTACATAGTATATCTATCTATTCACGTAGGTAGTAAGTTCATTGCTATGGCTTCGTTTTAACACGCTTAAAGTTAAAGACTAGTCAAGTGTTCCACTTAGGAAAAAAAAACTAAAGCCATGTGGTTGCTTTTGGAAAATGCAGCGCATTGTGTCATTAGAGTGCCAATTGTTAACAACATTTTAAAGCTGGAAACTAAAGTTTAATTTCATGTGCAATTTTGTTTAAATGCGCAAAAAATAAATAAATAAATAAATTTTACTCGAAGAGCAATTAAAAGCTTAAGAGTAAACACAAACTATTAATCTATCTATTCAACGAATGGAAACAAATGCATTTCATCGAATGAGAAATCTATAGGCTTAGGTTTGTTTATATATGCGAAGATTAAGTTCACGAACAATCGATGAACAACTGTTGTTATTTTTTAAAATGTGCTCTTCATTGTTTGAAATGTTATTTTAATAACCCTTAACCCCACAGAGCAACAGTAAAAATGGTCGAAGATAATGAGGACTTGAGCTTTATACCCGATCTGCCGACGGGCGGACCTCTGGCTGTGTATCGCAAACGCGCAAATTTTGACTGGAAGCGTCTGCGTCTGATATTCGAAAAGAAGCAGGGACTGCGCATTAAGGTAACCAATGCTGATCCTTCAAATTGCGAAAACTCCTACTAATATTTCTCTCCTAAACAGTATAAAGTCTGGCATCGTTTGGAGAGCGATCCCCTCTTCGCACACCCGGCGACTACGCTGCCTATGGACGAGCAGAAACGTTTGTGTGCCATGCAGGTGAATCGGATGAAGCAACTGGATCTGGTGCCCAAGGAGATCGAGAACCTGTCGTTCTCGGCCAAGACCAAATATCTGATGTACATCAACGAGGCACTGGCCAGCTACTCGCCCAGTTTGTCGGTGAAAATAGCTCTGGGCGTGGGGCTATTCAACAACGCCATTCGAGCCATGGGCACGGAGAAACACACCAAGTATATTGAGGCTGCCTGGAACCGTGAGGTCATCACTTGTCTGGCCATTACGGAGCTCTCGCATGGCAGCAATACGAAGAGCATTCGAACCACGGCCACCTATGATCCGGCAACGCAGGAGTTTGTCATCAATACGCCAGATTTCGAGGCGGCCAAGTGCTGGGTGGGAAATCTGGGCAAAACGGCAACGGTAGCCATGACCTTTGCCAACTTGTATACGGCCGATGGCCAGAATCATGGACTGCATGGCTTCCTCATACCCATACGAGATCCCAAGACTCTGCAATCCTATCCGGGCGTCTTGGTGGGCGACATTGGTGAGAAGTGCGGCCTTAATGGCATCGACAATGGCTTTGTCGTCTTCAGCAATTATCGCATTCCGCGTGACAATCTCCTCAACCGCACCAGCGATGTTACGCCCGAGGGCGTCTACGAGAGCATGTTCACAGAACCGGCAAAGGTGCTCGGCGCAGCCTTGGAGAGCTTCTCAGCCGGTCGCATCGGCATTATGCAGGAATCGGCGAACACCCTTTGTAGTGCTGCTGTCATCGCAGTTCGCTATGCGGCGGTCCGGAAGCAGTTCGGTCCCGAGCGCCAGGGCGATGAAATGGCCATCATTGAATACCAGTTGCATGTGAGTGGGGAGCGATTCTAATAAGGAAAATGTCCATATTCCACAAATCGTGAAATAGAAATCCCACATGATACTTTATCCGTATTGAAAATTTAACCTAGAATCTCGTAACGTTCCTAAGAAATGTTCGATCATGAAGTAAGGCGTCATAAAGTTTAAAAAAAACATTACTTCTTAATCCGACATTTTGTTTTAAAAACAAAATTAAAACCAATTTTTAAAACGGCCGTGTACAAATATTGTACACTTAAAGAGGTTATTTATGTATATAGTATCTATTTAACCATCTATATATCTAACCATCTATATATTCGTTTATCTATTCATCCCTCTATTTATCCATCTATCTATTCGTCTATCTATCCATCTATCTATCCATCCATCTATCTATCCACCTATCTATCAATCTATCTATCCATCAAATTGATATATCCATATATTTATTCATGTATTTTTCTATTTATCTATCCATCTATCTATCCATCTATTTATCCATCTATCTATCCATCTACCTATCCATCTATCTATCCATCTATCTATCCATCTATCTATCCATCTATCAATCCATCTATCTATCCATCTATCTATCCATATATTTATCCATTTATTTATCATTTATCTATCAATTTATCTATCCATCTATCTATCTATCAATTTATCTATCCATCTATCTATCTATCAATCTATCTATCCATCCAATTTATATATCCATATATTTATTCATGTATTTTTCTATTTATCTATTCATCTATATATCCATCTATCTATCCATCTATCTATTCATCTATCTATGCATCCATCTATCTATCCACCTATCTATCAATCTATCTATGCCTCCAGTTTGTATATCTATATATTTATCCATTTATTTTTCTATTTATCTATTCATCTATCTATCCATCTATACATCCATCTATACATCCATCCATGTATCTATCCATGTATCTATCCATGTATCTATCCATCTATCTATCCATCTATCTATCCATCTATCTATACATCTATCTATCCATCTATCTATCTATCTATCTATCCATCTATCTATCCATCTATCTATCCATCTATCTATCCATCTATCTATCCATCTATCTATCCATCTATCTATCCATCTATCTATCCATCTATCTATCCATCTATCTATCCATCTATCTATCCATCTATCTATCCATCTATCTATCCATCTATCTATCCATCTATCTATCCATCTATCTATCCATCTATCTATCCATCTATCTATCCATCTATCTATCTATCCATCTATCTATCCATCTATCTATCCATCTATCTATCCATCTATCTATCCATCTATCTATCCATCTATCTATCCATCTATCTATCCATCTATCTATCCATCTATCTATCTATCTATCTATCTATCTATCTATCTATCTATCTATCCATCCATCTATCTATCCACCTATCTATCAATCTATCTATCCATCTATCTATCCATCTATCTATCCATCTATCTATCCATCTATCTATCCATCTATCTATCCATCCATCTATCTATCCACCTATCTATCCATCTATCTATCCACCTCTTTATTTATCTATCTACCCATCTATCTATCCATCTATCTATACATCTATCTATCCATCTATCTATCCATCTATCTATCCATCTATCTATCCATCTATCTATCCATCTATCTATCCATCTATCTATCCATTTATCTATCCATCTATCTATTCATCTATCTATCTACCTATCTATCCATTTATTTATCTATTTATCAATTTATCTATCCATATATCTATCCACCTATCTATCCATCTATCTATCCACCTCTTTATGTATCTATCTATTCATCTATCTATCCGTCTATCCATCCATCCATCTATCTATCCATTTATCTATCTATCCAATGTATATATGCATATATTTATCCATCTATCTTTATATCTATTTATCCGTCTATATATTCATCCGTCTATGTATCTACCATCTATCTATCCATCTATTTATACATCTATCTATCCAAACGAATTGTAATACCTACCACAAATATAGTTCTAATACTTTTCCCTCACAGCAATATCGCATCTTTCCATACTTGGCTGCGGCTTGCGTCCACAAGATTGCCGTGGAGGAGCTGACCAACACATATCTGGAGATAATAGCGCGTTCGCAGGCAGATTCAAATGGGTTCGATGTACTGGTTAGTGGTGAAGTAATATCAGCTGAAGAAGCAGACACTAATATATTTATATTTCACATTGCCAGACCCAAAATGTATCGGAAATTCACGCATTAGTCTCTGCATCCAAGCCGCGCATCACTTGGGCCGCTCGCGATGCTATACAGGAGGCGCGCGAGGCTTGTGGCGGCCATGGATATCTGCAGGCTGCCAAGCTGGGACAAATGCGCAGCGATCACGACCCACTGTGCACCTACGAGGGCGATAATAATGTGTTGGGCCAGCAGGCCTCCAATTGGCTGCTGCGTCAATGGCGCGCCAAAGAATTGGAGTCGCCTATAGGCACAGTCAAGTTTCTGGAGAATCGCGAAGAACTATTGCAACTTAATTATGCACAGGCGCTGCAGAGATACGGACTGGCCAGTTGGGAGTGTAAGTAAACTAAGTATTGGAGAAGGGCCGGAACAGCTTTGAAAACCGTATACAACTAGGTTATGCCTAGTTAATGATTGGTATTAAAGAGTAAACAAGATGACATGAAAATGTGCAGCAATGTAAACCATACAAGAGTCGATCTATAAAGAGCCCCACGATATACAAATATTGACTGCTTATATCATAAATCTATCATTAAAACGATTAGTGCCACAAAGAGTTAGTTGAAAGACTGAGGGAGAAGGGTATTCAAGAGTTGGACTGACGCTACTTGAACACTACTTGTATAATCCTTTTGTTTTCAAACCGAAACATTAATTGCATGTTTCCCCATTCTAGTTGCCCTGCACTGCTACGAGTGGCTGCTCTGCCATCTTATGTCGCGCACGTCGGCACATATCGAACGGGATCTGGCGAGCGGCATGCATCGTTTCGAGGCCCGCAACAATTCTCAGGTGGCGGGCGCCCGTGAACTCTCCCTGGCCTATGCTGAGTACTTCGCCCTGAGTCGCTATGCGGCGCATGTGCGCCACCTGCAGGTGGAGGAGTCCTATGGGCAGGTGCTGCGTCTGCTGTACGACGTCTATGCGATGCGGCTGTTGGAGCAGCACATGACGACCTTCTATGTGGGTGGCTTCGGGGTGGGCGATGCATTTGCGAATGCCTTGCAGCAGCGTTTGCTGCAGAGCTGTGCCCAGCTGAAGGATGTGGCCGTGAGTGTGGCGGATGCGATTGCGCCGCCCGACTTTGCACTGAACTCGGTTATAGCACGCGCCGATGGATTGCTGTACGAGAATCTGCAAAAGGAATTTATGACCAACGAGGGCGCATTCCAGCGGCCCAAATGGTGGCGAGACGTCATCATACCGCAGGCCAAGTCGAAGTTGTAGGCTAAGAAGGAGTTGTGACACACAGAGCCCAGTCGCTGGGTCTGAAGAAAGTGCCTGGCAGTTTGTTGGCCAAGTTATGGGAGGAAGCACACAGTTTGGCAAGCACTGCATTTGGCCCCAAACTGCAGAGCACCTACATATTTTTAGGTGTAGTCATACATACTATTACTGTATTATTGTTATTGCCTCATTCAAAATCAGGTATTAATGCAAGCATATACATACATATGTAACATTTTGTAGCACGACATACATACATACTTATGAAAATCCCATCCTTTAAAGCTATGTATAGAATTGTAATTTGTATATGTATTTTTATCGAATGAATAATGATGTGTAATAAAGACTCGTGTCCTCTTTTTTATATAAAATATTGCGGGTTAATAAGTTTTATTTGTTTTATTCAAATGTGCCGCACACAATCATTTCAAAAATGTGAACAAAAATAAATTAAAATTTGAAGGAAAGGTAAACCACGGGATCGTTGCTTTTAATTAAATTTATACAGTGCGGCCACAATATTGACGAAGGTTGGGAAATGTATGCGTAAATAAAAGGCGGAAAAGGGCTTTGCATAAAGAAGTAAATAACAAAATTTGTACTGCAATAAATAAGCAATGCCTTTTGAGTGTTAAGGATTTGGAATGCCATCATTTAAGCGTCACACAATGGTCTTATTATTTAACAATAAAAGACATTTAAATATGGGTTTGCTCTGCATTTCCATGTACAAATAGTTTCAGGGCAACAGTTTTTAAGAATATTTATGATTAAAAGTGTAACGTATTCGTATTTTTATTTTTACTTTTCATTTGGGAAGAAAAAGAGAGACTTTTGAAATGTAATCGGGTTTTTATAAAAAAGCAAATTTTTTTGAAAGTAAATTTCTCAATAAAAGAAAAAGTTTATCATAAACAAAAGTTGTTGCTAAATGTTAATATATATTGAAATAAAAACATAAAACTTCTTAATATATTAAAACAAAAAGAGTAGAACAGAAAATTCTTACCACCACGACTACCTACAGTCTTTTAACTAAAATAAAACTATATAAAAGAGCTAAAGATTTTCTGTAGGTTTTCGGTTAGGCACTATAAAGTAAGATATTAAAATAAAAACAAAACATTTTATGACTAAGAGTGGCTTTTGAACCGATCGTTTCTACTAAGGAAGACATTTATTTACTGAACATATCCTACCTATAAAGTGTTCCTATAAAATGGGGTCTTTTATTCGAGCGCAGAACATAGTATTTAAAAATACTAGTTATAAATCAGAATAAGATTGGATTTACTAAAACTTCGTATAAAGGTTTAATTCAATTCCAAGAAGCAAGAAAATTATATGTAAATTGATCTCAAAAGCAGAAGGGCTGTAATTTAAAAACTTTTTAATAGCTCTAGACTTAGAAAGACAAGGGTATTCTCTATATTTATTTATTTGTTATTCAATTAATATATTTTTGTGTCAACAAACATTGACTGTCTACATTACAAAACAATATAAAAGCCATAAAAAGCATTAAGTACGATAAATCTACTCAAATTACAATAATATTTAATAAACGCCTCCGACTCAATGGGGGATTTTATTTACCTTTCGGCTAGCTAAGCCCTGACTCACAGCCAAGGGCGGTGAGAGACGTCAGTAGATCTACCATAAAAAAAAACTGAACAGAGAGAGGAAGCTTAGAATTGGTTAAAATTTCAACATCAAAAATATATATATATAGTACACTAATTCTTAAATGTCGGTCCAATTTTCGTGACAATTTACACAAGTTCTTAATGTTTCAGTTCACAAATATCGCTAAAGCTAAGCAATTTGATCGGCGATTAACTGTTAACTATCATCTGTGATGTCGGTGGGTTAGAAAGTTAAATATAATATAATTTGTTGTTATAAACTAGTTCTTACACTCTCTGTTGTCGAATCTGAATGATTCATTTAAATTGGGCTGCCAGCAGATTTGTTGGCTATATACTCGTACCATGCATACTACTATAGACGTGCTAACTCGTTTTTATGTAAACAGAGGAGATGGAAGCAACGCTTAGATCAAACAAATAGAAAGAGCGTACATTTATGATAATTAGTCGCAAACAGTGGCTTTTGAAAGCCTCAAAGCATTCATTGTTTTACATTCCCTACACATACGAGTATACTCGTATATATACAAGTACTATGTATGGAGAGAGGTGGAGAGAGCAGAAGCGCCGAGAGAAAAGGCGCATCTGCCAAACCAGTATCTATCTCTACAGAATATGCGAAACACCCAACTATCGGACCCACCGACTGCCTACCACCACCTGTTTATAAGAGGAGTTGGTCCGATCGGTTCGGACTCATACGCTTCCCAGGTGCCGGAAAGTGTAGAACGCGCCTGCAGCTCAGAGCGAGAACTTGAACTTGATTTCGAATTGTGAAAATATTGCCAAAAACAAAAACAATAACAACAGCAACAGCAACAAGTGAGTCGAATAGTCGTCTGAGTCGAACCGACGTGAGCTCAGCTCGAGTGACGCTTCTGCCGCGATCGGTCGCTTCGGTCTATAACTTTGTTGATTTTGCAAATTGGTGGCGCAGTTGCGTTTTGATTTCTGTGCTGGTGTGAGAGTGTTGAGTCGGAGAGGAACAGTCATCACTTTGTCAATCAATCAGTTAGTCAACAAACCTCGTCTTGTGTGGTGGTGGTGCGTGTGTCTATTTCTTATCAGCCAGCACATCGGCGCAAAATCTGTGATCTTGAAAACATATTAAAGTTCAATAAACAAACTACTTGTTTCATTGAGGAGCAATGCAAACCTTCTCATTATAATTGTATTACTAAAACGTTGCAACAATCTACATAATCTGAATAACTTTATTATTTTAAATGCATTTTCTGACTTAAGCGCATAAAGAGTTGTTTAAAGCCTATAATTAGAAACCTGTAAAAGCTGTTTTCGAACTGGAATATTTTCGAAAAGTGTTAATTTCAATTAAAAATTTTGCTACGCTTTGCTGATTAAACACATTAGGGGTGTTCTCGAAAAATTGAATTCAATAAGAAAATATCAGTGGATTTTTACAAAGTGAAACACTGGAGACTTTCTTTTTTTGTAAATCGTATTACCAAATGTTTTTAAAAAAGGAAAGATATGTAATGGAATTCATTTTATCATTCGAACCTTTCTTCTCAAATAAGTCAATACCGATTTCTTAAATTTTGTCGACAAATGTTATTCTTATGTATTTTTATTTTAGTCAGTATCCTACGACTTAGAAAGTTGCTAGTTTCTGGAATTAGATGATATTTAATACAAATAAAAAAAGAGCGATCAGTACTTTGTTTAATATTTAAAACAGTTCACATATATAGTCAAAACTGTTGCAGGATTCTAATGCTAGGATTTTAAGATAAAAAATAAGATAACATTAATATATCACTTTTTTAAGAAGGTGATGATATAGATATATAGATAGATTAATACAGGTATCATAAGTTCAAAGTTAAAATGTTAGTAGTGGCAGAAACTTTTGGAATCCCTCTACAGCTTACAATATCCAATTGATTTCATTTCATCTGAATACCTATGCCTGCATTAGATCATCATAAATGTGTCAGGAGTTATGCATTAATTCTGATAATATGCCTAAGTCTGTTTAAAAATTCACATTATTTGTAACATCAATTTTAAAATGTATTTTAATGGAAAATGAGGATCAGGTACTAGGTTTATCATTTTAAATATTTGGGAAATATTTAATCAAATAAATTTATAGTTCGCTTACTACCAAGATATTTAATATTTAATTTAATAATGATTACTGGAAGAAAATATTTGTTTATAATTTCTTCTTAAATACCGCAATAGTTTAAAATATCCAATTTTGGAATGAGAAGTTTAATAATATTGTTTTTGAGTAATTGACTTTTTAATATGCACATGCATTAGAAAAAGAAAACATAAATATATATTCTTCAAATACATTATTTTTACTATAATTATGAATATGATAAGATAAAGGAAGGGAATTGTAGAAGAAAAGTTGTTGTTTTGTGTTTTACTTTTTATCCATGATAAATATACTTTGATTTATTTTGTCAGTGCATCTTAAAATGGATACATATTTAAGGGACATTTTCGATTAGGAAAATAGTTTAGAGAAACAATTAAATTTCTTAATAAAACAATATTAGGCTCTTAAGAGAACTTATGATAATTTCGTAAAAGACAAAAGAGTGTTCGTTTTTCTTTTGATGTGTGCGATTATACATGCTCCTAAGTTCAATACATTAGTATTGAATATATGTTGCTGATACGATATTTATAAACAATTCTAGTTCAGTTCTCAGCTGTGTGAATTATAGTCTCAGCTTACATGAATATCAGTTTTGCAGACAAGTTTAAGAATCATTTAAGAATTTCACTTTGAAAACTTTGAAGAGACAAGAAAAATGCATCCTTATACCATACGAGAAGTTTCGATCGCATTTATATTTAAAATTGTTCAATTTCATCATGAATGCGAAATAAATGTCGCGAAATATTCCACTATTAGGCCTGGCTATGCGTCAGCCTTACGCAAAAAAAAAAGATTCTATATTCAAATAAAAACTTATGACAGCACCCCAATAAAAACAACTCGTCATTCAGAGTGCTAATGCTTAAATTTATGTAATAAGACCAAAAAGAAGAACAAAAAAATCCCCAATTAAGAAGCACACACGACGTTTGCCAAAATAACAACTCGTTGACAAGACAAAGTGAATTGCAATTAAAGAGTATTTCAAAAAATTATTTAAATTATAAGCACGCACACACATTTTAATAAAAATATCAAGTTGTAAGCGAATGAAAGCTTCAAGAAAACAAATGTTTGGCAAAATGCGCAGCAACCGAAGAAAAAACTTCAAAAATTATTTAAAGAAATCAACGAAGTCGATACATTTACATTTACTATATATGCAAAACTTCATCGAACCGAAAAAGATAAATAAATTAATAAAAAGAGCAACAAATTAACAGAACCGGTTTAAAAAAACTAAAAAAAAAAAAAATCACATCGCCCCCTACTGCGGTAGCAGAACAAACAAATTGAATTATAAATACAATATTTTCAATATAGAAATTCATTAATTTACATTTTGGGTATTTCCGTTAAAATGCGGCGGCTCCCTTCGATTTTCGTCTGTAATTTGTGCAATTTGTTTATTGGGGAATCGTGTAAGGGCAATTAAATAGTCGCACAGAGAAGAAAAAAGTGAGTTTAATAAATGCTGCCATTGTTGTTGTGGTTAGTACAGTCGTGCTGAGAATTCGCCTCCGGCTTCGCAAATACATTTCGGGAACCCATTCAGCTCCATGGGGAGGGGCCAGAGGGCATAGGGGAGAGCCCTACACAATGAGCACCCGCAGCAGGTTGAAAAATGAAAATGCATTCATTAGTCGGCAGTACCGGCAGTACCGGTAGTTGCATAAAAGCGCAGTTAATGGCAGAATCGCGTTAGTATTAATTATACATACATACATAAGTAGTAATACCATTTAGCCCCGTGCGGCAGAACTCTCTCATTTCAGCAGAAATTGATTATCTCTATCGAATCTATATCGCATGGTGGGGGAATTCCACAAATAGAAAGTTGGCACAAAAAAAATGTATTGCATAACTTAACAGCTTTTATTGTACTGTTAATTAAAAACTCTATAATAAAATATCACACTCGACGAATAATTTTAAGCCTTAAGTGTCTTATTTCTTTCGTTTTGGAAAACTAATTAGGGACTGAAAATAAGCGATGATTTTGTTTTTAATGTAAGCCATACAAAATATAATAGAACTAGAAAGATAGAAGCAAAATTACTATTTTTTAAAAGGCGATTGTTGTTATTTGCACTAATAAAAATTAGTGAACGCCTAACTTTTTAAATTTAAAATACATGCATTTGGAGACACTTAAAAGAACACTTGTTAAATAAAAAATACTTGTTAAATACAAAATAGTTAATTAAACTCACCGCAATAGACTTGCCAGGTTCCTCTGAGAAGACAACGTGCCGATCCCAATTAGTGAAAGGTTTTCGCTGTAAATGTATAAATGAACATAAAGTTAAATTGAAATACTTTGGTTCCGTATATGTGTGTAAAATATTATGTTATAGCGTAAATCTGATTCATAATAATAAAATATCAGTACAAAAAAGAATTAATTTCTAACGGTTTACATTTAATTTTAGATTTTGATAAACATATACATTTTTTGAACATTCGGAAAAGTTCTTATTTACCGGGAAGGTGAAAAATGTCCCATTAACAATATTAACAATTGATTTATTAGAATTATGTAAAATTAATTGCAAGGCAAGAAGAATTTTATGAGATTATAACGAAAAGAAGTGGAAAAAATAAGTAAATTATTCTTATTATTAACCAATTTGGAGAAAATTACAAATTAATCTAATAATCTAAAAAATTACATAAAAATGTCGGGGGGAATGCCGTCTTTTGCCTTCCCTTATATTATTAAAAAAGATATTATGGAATAATGAATATAGGGAATATGTAAAGTTGTTATAAAATTGTTCATTTCAATGAGATGAAGTCTCATCTGTGGGAAATATAGTCTCAGCTATTAATTAAGTTCACTTCGGTCTCAGCCCTTCTGTTGCCAAAAATATATGCTCTGCTCTACTTTTTGCAGTGATGTCATTCAGATTGTCACTTTCTGATAAGCTTTCGAACCTAATTTATCCATTAGAGGAGTGCAATTTTGGCAGCACTTCGCAAAAGTTTCAACCATTCAAAGGCCTTACACGTTCCCAGAAACTGCGCACAAACAAAAATAAGTTGAGGGGCAGCAAACCGGTCGACTTTACAATGTTCTGATACCAGTTTTAATTTGTTGCTTCCATCTAAATGAAGATACATATAAAATTAATTCACTTTATCTAGCTCCGAAAAATATACCCAAATAACAAACGAATTTTGTATGTAAAAGCGAATTTATTAAAATGTGGAAACTATTGCTGATTTGTATAGTAATGAGCGCCCTCAACAGCGAAGCGGGTGAGTAGTACAGTGTTGCAATTGCAGCATACAGCGCTTTCTAACACTGTTTTCTGTGTCGTTCGTGGGCTGCAGTGCGTACGACGCGCAGACGTCGCAACAATGTCGGCAGCTATTCGGGAAGCTACTCCAACAGTAATGGTGCTAACGGTGGCTACACAGGCACCTACAACGGCAACGGTGGCGGCGTTCATGTGGGTACCGGAAACTACGACTACGACGACTATGATGGCTATGGTGCTGGTTTCGGTGGCTATGGCATCATCGATCCCTATCTGTTCCATCAGCAGTTGACGAATCACGTGCTGGCGCAGAACTTGGCAACGCAACAGTGAGCATTGATAGAGTTACTTTAATGTTGGTGTCTGGGGTAGTTGTGACGGGTAATGCCGCTTTGTAATCTATTTGTAGAGCTATAACGGGTCTGGCCACAGCTGGTGACGCTTTTGCATTTGCGGATGCAACCATAGACAACGAAGACACGTAATTACGCCACCTAATGCTTATACTAATACAAGTTCTCAAGCGTTTTCCAACACTTCTCTAACCAATATACCGTTTCCACAGGCGCATACGTCAGCAGATAGCCGCCCAACAGGCATACAACGACAATATTGTGCGCCAAAACCGCTACAGACCGGCCACCAACTCCGGATCCTACAACCTACACCGTTACGCTCCCAGCTACGCTGCAGCCGCAGGATCCATTGGTCCCAACGGTCACAGACAAACTGCATACATAAGCCCCGCCAATCCGGTAGGTGTTGCGAGTAAAGATCCATCGCGTGCGATTTAGTGCTAATTGAAATTTTCAACACTTTCTTCGCGCCTCTCGTTGCTCAATACATGTCAGGTTTATACGCATACGCATGTTTTTATGCCTTATTAGGTGTTCTTTTTGGACTATTGGTTCGCTCGTTTTAGAGAGTTTATTTGAATTTATACAGAAAAAAAGAAATCAGTAGAGAACCCATATTAGTTAATTTTTTCTAATCGACAGTACATGCATTTTAAATGTATTCTACTAACGTCAGAATGTTTCTTCTCCCCATCAAGTAATACATATATCCGGAATTTCATGATTAGTGATTTTGCATTTCGATTATGTCGAGGGCCGTGAGTCGAAACTGTCAGTCCATACTACTCACGCTAATTAAAACAGAGATATATTGTTGATTAAGTCAGTTAAGTGGCTCTGCTTAGATCATGCGTATGAGAAGCACGGGGGAGAGATCTGATCTTTTATTGTAAATAAATTATTAAATAGAATTGAATTTAAATGAATCTAATAGTGATTAGGTCTGTCGTATGAGAAGTGCTTGTGTTTTTAGTGAAATCGTAAAATTATTTTAGGTGCAATTTTATAATGCAAAAATTAATATTCGGTGATTAATAAAAAACTCTTATAGCCAAAAAATCGTATAATCAAAAGCTTCATACGCGATAAATGGACAACTGAGGACTTTAAAATGGTGATATGTTTTGAAAAACACACAAAATGGATACTGGAATTAGAAATAATTAGAAATAATTAGTTGAATATCACTTTTACACTATTTCTTAACCAATTTTACTTGAAAGTATTAACAAATCAACTTCAGGCAAAGTTTAAGTAGATTTGTGTGTAAAATAAAACTTCTATACATAATAATATTCCTATTTGTACAAATTAAATTCAAAATGAATTATTTGATCAAAAATCGTAATTCGCAAACATTTTTCATATATTTTTATATATTTCATTTATAATAGAAATTATTAATGTACTTGGAACATTTTAAAATATTTTTAAATATTTTACAAGATATGTATGTGATATTGTATAATAGTTTTTGTTTAGAACTGATATGCCTCTTTTTGAATTTCGCTTTCAATTGAACTTCAATCGCTTAGATTTGAAGATAAAAATCATATTATGACTTTCAGATCTTCAAATTCTTTATAATTATATTTGAAAAGATTTGATTTTTGGGAAATTTAAATGAATGTTAATTTTTGGAATTTTTGGTGTTAATATTTGAGTTTCTTAAACAATTTTTAGTGTTGTACTGTCTTAAGAATTGTTTTAAGAATCGTCCTTATAACTTTTTAATGTATTTTCTGTCTCTTTGGCAGGCTCAACCCAACATTGTGAACCGTTTCGGTGGCTCGAGCAGCAGCGGCGGTGGAGGCGGAGGTGGTGGCTACAAGGGCGTCTCGGTCTCCTCGTTCAGCACGAGCAATGGGGATGGCACCAGCCGTCGTGGTGCACAGACCACCATCAATGACAATGGCAAAGTGACGTCGTATTCGGTGCACTCGTAGATCGGTTGATAAAGGCCTTTATAACCAATCGTACCAATACAACAATAACAAAACTAACAACATGTTTATTTAAATCCTATAAGCACAAATATATATTTTATATGTATTTACACGCATGCCTGCCTACCTCTTATTTCTCCAAACTCTACTTCCATACTTTCTCATTTACCGGATCGGCAAGCTGAGCTTTCGCTTAGAAAGTTTTGCGCAAAAATCCCCAACAGGGGAATAACAAAGGAACATGTGTTTGAATTATACTTACGAGTATACTCGTATGCAAAATTGTGCTACCGTTTGGAAATTAGCTCTTGGCATTGATTTCTTTCTGATTCTGTGCTCTTTATGTATTCGATTTACATAAATAAATACGCATTCGTTTCTAAATTCGGCTGTGGGCTTTTGTTATCAGCAGAGTACAGGAAATATGTCTATGTTTTGCAATCTAAATTGCCTCATTAAAAATAAATTAAATACATAGTTTTATTTGTGGCAAACACAAAACAAAACAAATCGTTCTACTACTTGGGCTGCTTCTTAATGAAGTCCATTGATTAGCATAGTTGTCTATATATATATAGCGCTACTGAAGGGTCTACATTCTGGAAGAAGTGCCTTTGTTCGACTCACATAATGGAATTCATCTCATTACAGACACCTGAAGGGGAAGTCTCTAAAGTGTTGAAGTTAATTATTATTACACTTTTAATGAAGCACCTTAAAAGCACCTTCCACAGTTATGAAGCCACAATCAAAAAAGTAGCTTTGTATATCACTTTGGCTAATATAGGCTGCTATCATCTCGAGATAGAAGTTGTCTAAACTTACTATGCCTATATATAACGAATCCAAAATATTAGGAAACTACTTAGTAGCCTTAGGAATTAAAAGGGGTTTAAAGAAACAAGGAAATAAATTGAAATATCTTTTCTAAAATGAAAAAGAGACCTTGAAGAGATAAGGGTGTTTATTTTCAGTTGAAAACTTTCAAATACTAAGCCGAGATACCACTCCTATGTATTAATTATGATTTTACCAATCATCATAGATTCCTAAACTTAATGCGAAACAATGTTTGTTTCAATCTTTGTATTCTGTTTTACTTGAACCGTAGAGCTGGTCGGTGTAAACGTAAATATACAAGAGTCTCAGAGTCAGTCAGAACTAATAAGAAGAAAGACCATTAGCTGGAAACAGCAGTTTATAGATAGCTGGGCTTATTGAAGAATGTGGTTTTCATTGCATATTCTTAGTTGGAACTCACCGCTATTTGACATCTTTCAGTTATTTTATGTTTCATCTTCAGTTCCTTAGGTTTCCAAAAAATATAATTACGGTTTAACAAAAGGTTTCCAGAATTTGCATTCTCATATTTTAATATAAATAGGTTTTTCATTTGCTGATATTGGAATTGTTAGTATTTAAAATAAAATTGAAGTTGTTTTATGCAGTATATAAAAGGATCAGGATTTCCTTTTCATACTCGTATATATATTTTTAGAAAACTCTCAGATCAGTTTTTCTTCTTAAGTCTATGAAAGCGTACGGACACGGCTATATAGTCCGAATGATATAAAGTAAAAATGATTTGTTTAGTGTGTTTTTTAATCCTCTTTTAGTAAATATGACTTGATTTAAAAATTATATTTTTAATGTCAGTATAGATCAAAAGTGGGAATGTTGATATATGTGTAGTACCTTTATCGAAAAAAAACAGCCTAGTTGAAATGTTTACAAAACAAATAAAATATTAACTCTCTAACGACTTTAACTCTGCATCTAGGTAGCATTCACGTTGTACTAAATAGTAGATTTTAAAAACACATAAGTATAAATGGAATTTTATGTGCTTTTTATTTCATTATTGACTTTAATTTTCAATTTAATAAATTGATTTAATAAAAACTTCAGAAATGCCAATCATGGCACACAATCTCTCGCAATCAGGCAAAGCCCACATATCAGCGGAAGTAGGAAAAATGTTGTTTATTTACACTAGACATTATACATTTTGTTTACAAAACAAGTTCCGATTCCCAGAAATGCAAATATATTTCAAAAAGGTGTGTAAAAAACAAGCAAGTTTTGCAGAATACTTTCCTAAAAAGTGATTTAGCGGATGTGTATATATAGTATGTATATATTATAGTTAGATTCTATTCTATATACGAACAGTATTCCAAGAGCAAGTTCAATGCAAGCATATAATCTTCTAAGTTGATACTTACGCGGCAATATATAATATATGTTCCATAACATATAGAACGAGCAATGCCCTGCACTTGAAATTCGTGAACATGGCAACTATATATAGAGATTTGCTAAACACATACGAGGACGCTGTTCGGAGCAAGGTGCTGATCTATAAAAACAACGGTTATCATCGGGCTTATATACATAATTACTTTCATTTACGGTCGATTGGAATCAATGTCGCATAAAAATTTCTGCACCAATTACGAGACTTCTACAAAACAAAAATATCATTTCGATGATTATATATACGAGTTCATACAAACATATACTTGTATGTGTCGTGATGTATGACTATGACTACACCGCGAAAAAGGAGTCAGATTTCCAAAAAATTGGTCGCTTTTAAAAGATGAAACTAGTTTTCATGTGAAAATAGTATGATTGCTCTACACTTTTCGAAGCTATGCTTAAAATTAAATACAATAACAAACGTTTTTTGGGGGGTTTTAAATTAAATTTGTTTTGAATTGTAAAAACTATCTTGTTTCTAGAAATTAAATTTCTCATTTTATCTTTGATTCTAAGATGAATTTCTATTAAAATTAAATATTTAAAAAAAAATGTCCTTCCTGGAATGACTTCTATCGTCATCAAAAAAAAAAAGAAAAGAAAACTCTGATTTAAATAATCAACCCATATCTCAATATAGCACTTAAGCCATAACCAAATAAATTCCTTTTCATACAAAACAGTCAGCGCCAGTCTGACAACCGGTAAGTTTTCTATTTTGTGGATAAGCATATCGATGCTCCCGTGTTCATTGGAGTGATTCGCTATTGCCGTTTGGATCGGGAATCCATATTTGAAAACAACATCGAAGCAAGCAAGTAACCATCGCCAAAAGAAAAAAAACGGACCAGGATGAGAAAACAGTCAGGACATACTAGTTGAGTTGGTAGGTAGATCTAAGACAGAGAGGAAATTCTGGCATAGACGAGGAAGCCCTTAGTGGCTCATTTAGGCATGAAGTATTCCTGCGGTCGAGAGTCGGCTGTCCTCGGCATGTCCTTACAGCAAAAGGAGTCAAGTTGATAATTGTTCAGGCGGCGTGCGAGTGCCCGAGGCGTATTTGGTGGCGACTTCGAAGCCATTGTAAAATTAGCGACGGCTACTATAAGTGTGGTTAGAAAAGACTAAAATACAGAATATAAGTATATACATACAATTTATTTAAGAGAAAAGTTAAATAAGCATCATTATAGTGGCCTAACCTAAGCTTTCCCAGCCTTCACTCCAGGTGGTTTTATTTAGGCAATATAGAAAAAAGAGAAAGCCAAATCGTTTAGAACACACAAATTGTTTTGAGTGCACGGCTTATCAACATTTAAAAAAATCTCAATGCCATTTTCTAGGTGAATTATTAAGCTTGAACTGCTTGTATTGCAACGCTCTCTATCAGTCGCAGTCTCACTACTTGGTGGACAAATCCACATATCAATATATAATCTGGGGCTTAAAAATCTACAGCGAGCCGAGCTTTCAATTCATTACTCAAAACTCAATCGTGGGCAGTGGACGTCCCCGCAGCTGTTAAAAAAAAAACTTTGTGTTCAATTCAAGAAATCAAGAACACAACTCCGAAATGAAATCACTTTTGGTGCTGGCCCTGTGCCTGGGCGTGGTTTGCGCAGGTAAAAAAATAATTTGATGTGAAATTGAGGTGAAAGTGAAGTGAGGTGCGAAAATATTAAGAGATTTCCAAAAAAGTGTTCTTTGAACATTTCAAAATTTTGTAATAGAAGATGAAACTCAAAATTAATTGTTACGTAAGCTGATTCGTATTTAAATTGATAGGCAAGGTCATATATTATTCAGATTTCATAAGACTATCAACAATATTGAACAAATTGCTTTCTGATCCTTCACAAATCCACAACTCATTCCTCGTCATATTTATTTTACTTTTTTAATTTCGAAATAATTTCCATGTGTTTATTTTACAACGGTGATAAGAATTGAGTTGGTGGCGTAATTTTCTTGCAACGTATTTTCCCTGAATGAACACATTATTTTCCATTTTATATAATGACGTGGGCAATGGGGGGCAACATGTGAGGCGATAAGGTTTTCGAAGCTCTAGACTTATCAGCAAATCTAATGTATTTTCAATTCTGTTGCTCTTTTCCAGATGTTTATAGCAGGTATGTACGTTTTTACAAATTCAGCATTATGTGTGGTATGGAGAGAATAAATTTTCAATTTATTTTTTTATTTTGGTTTCTTTTTTTTTGCCCTCCTGTAAAGCAGAGCCAAACGTAGTTCTGATTTCCATAGCCGGTAAGTGCCATGCGACAATATTGAAAGAAGTCCTATTGCATTTTGTTTTTGGCAAAATTCAACAGTTTTCTCAATTGGCAACATGGTACTACTAACCCAAAACTCTCAAAATTTGCATGCTATTTACGACTAATTATGAACAGATTTGGAGTGGTTCGGATAGGGACTGGGGTTGTGGCTGATAAGTTGCTTAATTGCTTGCATTTTTAATCAACTAGACCTTTAATTCTTTCTTATATAATCAAGCATAAAGCCCTATTTTTGTATTTTTTTTTCTGATTAATAATTAAGCATTTCATCAGCTCCTTGTGGAAATCACTCCATCTCTATAGTTTGAACCACTGTAATATAATATAATATAAAATATTATCTATAGCCACTATGGTGCACATCAGAAAACCGTTGAGGAGGCGCGCAAAAATGCCTACGGAGCCTCTGGTTCTGGTGGTCTTGGCTTTGGTGGTGGCGTCGGCGGTGGCGTCGGCGGTGGTGTCGGCGGTGGTGTCGGCATTGGCAGTGAAGCAAGCCTTGGTGGTGGCGCCTCACTCGGTAATCTGGTCGGCTCCTACGATTCTGTCGGCGCTGTGGACAGTGGTGCCGCCGGCGGCAGTTCCGGTTCCTATGGTGGTAGCAGTGGCTCTTCGTTTGGAGCCAACAATGCTGCCTCTTTTGGATCGAACAGCGCCTTCTCGAGCAACTCGGCCTTCCAGTCCAGCCTGCAGTCTTCGGCCAACTTTGGTGCCTCGACTGCCCACAATGTGGGCAGCAACGTTGAGTTCGCCGATGCGAATAATGCCGGCACTGAGGTGAACTTTGGCGGTGCCAGTGGTACGAGCGCTTCCCTGCTCTCTGGCAATCTGCTTAGTCAACAGGCTCAGAGCACCGGCAGCGTGGGCGGCGGCAGCGGCTTGGAGTACTATCATCATGAGAAGGTTGTGTCTGCCGCACCCCAGCAGGTGGTTAGCTATGTGCCCAGCGGTGGCTCCGAGAAAATCGTCCAGCACACCGAACGCATTGTCGAGAAACAGCAGCCCCAAATCCAGTATGTGCAGGTGCCCTCGGGCGGTTCGGAGCACTACGTCTATCAGAAGAAGGTGACGACCAGCAGTGCTCCTCAGCTCCAGGTGGTGCAGCAACCAGCCAAGCTTACCTACGGCTCCAACTTGGGTTTGACTTCTTCTTTGGGCGTCAACTCGGCTCTGAATCAGAATGTCGGCTTTGGTCAAACCTTTGGCCAGCAATTTGGACAGAGACTTCAGCAGCGGCAACAACAACAACAGCAGCAGCAGCAGTTCGGTGCCCTCAACTTTGGAGCAGCACAGTCTGGAGGCTTGAACTTTGGACAGAGCTCACAGCTTGCTTCCTTCGGTGGTCACCAGTTCTCCAGCAATTCGGAGCTGCAGCAATATATGAGACAAGCCCATGAGGCGGCCAGGCAGCGCGCCCTCCAAAGCCAATCAGCCACTTCCGTTAACTCCGGTGCTAGCCTCGTCAGTGGTAGCCAATACGGAGGTGGCAGTGCCGGTGCCAATCTTGTGGCCGACAACAGCCAACTAAATGGCGGTCTGCTGGGCATCAGTAGCGGTCTTAACTCTGGCTTTTCCAGCTCCTTGAACTCCGCCAGCTCTTTGAATTCGGCCAGCTCTTTGAACTCGGCCAGCTCTTTGAATAGTGGATCGCTCTTGAACGGATCCTTGCTGGGTCAGGGCTCGCTCCTTGGTGGCTCCAATCAACTTAATGCTGGTGCCAATGTTGGCCTAGGCAGCTTGGGTGGTGGTTTATCGAGTGGCCTACAAGGGGGTGCTGGAGGTGCTGGCGGTGCCGGCTCCAACTACCAAACCAAGCAGTGGGAGTCCCAATCCAAGTGGTCGTCGCAATCAGAGGTGGGTTCCTTTATCTAAATTCGACTACAGTTTAAATGCTTATTCTATCTATCGATCTTCCTGCAGTTCGGTCCAGATGGCCAGGTGAAGAACTACAAGGATCTGTCAACGGGTGAGAGTGAGAACTTCAACATCAATGGCAAGCAGTACGGCTATAAGGCTGCCACCGCCTCTGTCGATGATAATGGCCAAGTCGGCACCTACAGCGTTCACTCGTAAGCGACTACGCTCCAACTAGCTACAAATCTCCTTATATACAATTTGTGTTCCATGCCGATTTTCGGTAAACTCTGCTGCCTAAGTGATTGTGTGAGAATAAAATGAAATGTTTAGTTAAATGTTAACCGACACGAAAAATAATTAATTGTTGAATCTAGTTTATGGAATTTTTTAACTTGGTTTCAGCGATCTATTCAATATAAGTTATATATGGTTTATCAGCTGATATCTTCTTCTTCACCCAACTCTGCTACCGACTGTAAGTAATGGTTTTTTTCGACGAAAATTAGCAAGGCAAGAGTGCACCCTTCAACAGACATCCAAGCTAGTTGTGAATTTCTAGTGTCTTAGCAAAAATTGAACCGCCTAACATCATGAATATTTGCGTGCGATGTATTGTTTTGATTTTGGGAATAAATTAGTAAGAAAAGAGCAGTTTGAAGCGCTCTAGGAATACTTATAAAAGTTATATTATTTCTGTGTCGGAAACAATTTATATTGAGCTATAACTGATGACTTGGTGTCAGTCTATCCGTCTTCTTTCCATCAGTATACAACAAATATTGTAAAATCATTTAGCCATGAAAAAGATTTGTTCTTGTTACATCACACATTTGAATGAAGCTTGATATCGTGATCGATTGATTGATACAAGCAAGTGGGGGATAACAAAGATGACTGATCTTGAATTTATGCTGCTAGGTCCGAACATGAATATTAGTGGACCTTGCGGTTCTTCAAAGGTAAGCTTAATTCAACAGAAGATGATGCTTATTGTTATTCACTTGACATTCAAAGAATTGTTACTACAAGTATTGCGGTATATCTAAAATTAAATGGGTGGTTAATTTTTGGAAGCGGCAAAAGAAAATATTGTTGATCTGAAGCATAACAGGCCAGTATCTCAATTGGAGTGAAAAATGTTACCAAAATAGGTTTGAATACATGAACAAGTATATTGCTCTTTGTGAAGAAGATGTTGAAGTCCAAAAGACATTTTTCTTGCCCCATTGTTGGGTTTTATTTTATTTACTTCTACACTCTTCTGACCCCGAAAGCGTTTTGTTTTTGAGCTTCCACTTTATCTTAAAGAGGTGGCTTTCATTATTTATAATTACGGGAAAATGAAAAGATTTTACAGTTGTGTTTTTCCACCAACTTCAATTTATTGCTCAGAACTTAGCCGTCAAGTACTTGGAGATGACGGTGCGCTGCGACATTTACTGCAGCTACAGGCACAATCTGATCTTTGATTGAGGTCTCGACGTCGCCTATAGTCGCAGGGGTTCCAGTTGGGCCTTCGATAGACCTCACTATACTGTGGCAGCGAGCGTTCTGTGGTCCAAATAGGCACATAATGCGTCCAGGTCTCACCGCTGCGATAAACGCTGCCCGTATCGCCACCCGAGTTGTAGAAATGCTGCGGATAGTATTGGGGATAATAGCCACCAGTTCGGCTGCCACCACCACCACTACCTCCACGACCTCCACTATCGTAACCTCTTCGCTCGCTGGAGAAATTCGGATTCCATTGTGATTTGGGATCGTAGGGTTTGCGGGTCTTGTGTTTGGAATCGCTGCCGCCGCGACCCTTGAAAATGGGCACACTGGCGTCCTCTTCAAAAGAAATGAATAAAGTGGCGAAGAATGAAAGTGATGCGGTCCCAGGTCGTGCCTACTTACCCTTCTCGCCCTGCTGCGCTGAGCTTGTCTCGTTTGCCTCCCCCTCGGCGGTAATTTCGAACGTGATGTCCGTATGTATGCCCACACGCTTCTTGTGTTTACCCAAATCCGTAATTTCAACGCTCTCCTTGGATTCTGCTTGCAAGTTAGTCGACTGGTTAGTTGGTTTTGCATTTGCCCCATTTAATTACCTTTCGTTTGCTGTTGTCCATTGCCCGTATCGACGGTTACGCGTACTCCGTGTATCTGCGGCCGATTCCCTCCACCACCTCCGCTGTTTGTCTGTCCATTGCCCAGGCCGCGACCCGTGCCTTGATCGTAGTTGCTGCCACCCTGCCCCTGTCCATGTGTCTGCCCCTGCCCCTGCCCCTGTTGTCCCTGGCCGATTAGCACTGGCACGACCGTCTGGTTGTTGTTGCTATTATTGTTGTTGTTCCTATCCTCCGCGTGCTCATCGAAATCCAGCTTAGAGGACACTTTATTCGCTTGACCTGGTTGTTGTTTTTGTTGTTGCCATCACAGTCAACGTCACCGTCAACGTCAATGTTGTCGTTGTTTGTTTTTGATTTTGCATAGAAATTAGATTTAGCAGAAATTTAATTAAAGTTATGCAAACACTTCAACCTGCTTCAACCGCCGCCAGCATCGCTAATCAGGTGAATTGGAGCGTGTCTGTCATATCCGCAGCTCACATCGCCGCCCGGCATTGCTCCCACCACCTCCGTCCCCCTTCCCCCTTCCCACTACCACCCCCTCTCCCCTCAGGCAAACATACCCTCAAAGTCTGTGTAAGTAGCGCAATTAGCGCACACAAGCTTGTTTATAAATACTTCTCGCAACTGCAGGCGGAATGTGAATTGTGCAGTCGACTGACTCTTGAGTTGGCCACTCGCACTTTGACCGATTTTAATTGATCTCAATATGCAAATTATAAATACATCGAAAGTAGTCGGATCCGAAGGCCTGCTGAGACACAACCGGAGTAGTTGTTGGGGAGGCATCTGCTTTGCGCATAGGCGAGTGGATGCACGGATAGATGAATGGATGGATGGATGAATAGATGAAGGGTTAAATGGCGGGTAGGGGAAAGAATAGAATAGAACAGAATAGTAGACAGAGGAAAGATAAAAGAATAAATGAAACGTTGGATAGCGGAGGGGGTAGAGGAACAGATAGAGGAAATACCGGCTGGATGAACGGAAAGAAGATGGATTGATAGAAGGCGGACAAATGGATCAATAGAAGGAGGGATAGACTTTTGGGAAATAGAATGAGTAGAGTAATGAACGGAGGGACGAACAGAGCAACGAATGGAGGAACGAAAGGAGCGACGAATAGAGCGATGAATAGAGCGACGAATAGAGGATTACAAGAATAGACGATCTGATAGAGGGATACATGGGAGCAGATGGAAGCTGGAATAGAGAGATATAAGGATGACGGGTGGATACTTTCTATTCGATAGAAGAGCAGAAAGATGGATGTAAAGGGATAAGAGCATCAGATACCAAACTGTAGTCCGTCACTTCTATCCACAAATGGATATATATTAAATTTATGGTCTGTTAGGCCTGTCTCTGGGTGTTAGAAATATGGAAAACATTTTAGTAGACATATTAATCAGTTGGTATATAATATAATCAATATTAGAAGTCTACAAAAAAATCCAAAGTTGTCTGCTGAATATAAATGGATATACGAGAGTCAACTAAGCTCAAATTAGAGCCCCAATAATATCATTTTTTAACCGACTTAAAAAAAGAGGAAGTTATCAATTCGTCTGTATTTTTTTATATTTGTTAGCTCAGAACATTCGACTGGGTGAATCGATGTTGATGTTCATTCATTTAATTATATAAACATTACATTTAGGGATTCATCATTAAAAAGGGGGCTTATCCACATCTACTTTTTTTTTATAACTTATGCTTTATATCCAAATCCTCCTTTGATATTAAATGTTGTAATATTTTATCCTTTCTAAAGTAATAAGCTTCTTTTCTTTACGTAATAAGCTTATGTTCCTTCATTCGCTCAGTAAATCCAATTGCTTTTCTTTTGTACTGTTTATGCGATTTTGTTTAGTATAATTTTCTGGTTTTTGTAGAGCTTTGCAGTAATAATTTATAAGTTTCAATAATTGAAATAAGGCTTGAGCATTGTTCGTGTTTTACGACAATTTTTTCCGTTCATTAAATACAGGATAGGGAAAAAGCCTTCATGTGGCGCACTGGAATAAATATTTTACAACTCTGAGTCACGGATTTATTATTTAGAGTGCTAGTTTAGCTTTTTAAGAATTGTTGCTTGAGGAATGCGTTATTTTCACAAACATATGCCCGCAATCACCCGAAACGATTCCAAATTAAAAATTGTCAGCACAAATAACCACTTGGATAAAGGCTGCTTGCTGTAAACAATATTTTCCGAGCAATCTATATCGGTTTTAAGCAAAATTGTTTTCAATACTAATACAAAAACAAGTTTTCTTTAATTTTAGCATGAAAAAAAAACTAATCTAAGCTAATCAACAAGAGTAAGAGAGCCCTTAGAATATTTATAAATTGACATTCTGATATAGGAATCCCCTAATAAGCGTCACTTAACAGCTTTTCAATGGATCTTCATTAAATAGTATTTCAATTTAAAGTGAGAGATGATGACCGTTTCCCAAGCCTGCTACTTCAGTGTTGTTAGGAACTACTAAAAAGTCTAAGTGGCAGCTAACAGGTTTCTGAAAAATCCCCGAATATTGGCCCATTAGGAAAACCCCACCACTTAGTCAGGAGTGCGTGCAAAGATAGCGAATATCTTGAATCTTTCTAATTGAAGAACTGCACGAAATTGATGAACAGCCAGTCATGCAATTGAGTCACAGGCACAATAGGTTTGTGTTTTGTTTCTTAATTAATTAAACTTTAAAAGTACTTTTTTACAACCTTCAACATAATGATGAGACAACAAAATGCAGCACAGAATTGAATAAATGAGCGGCTTGAAAGCAGTTTCGCGAAACATTTCCACGCACATAAAAAGAGTGTGTTTCACTTCTATTTATAGTTAAATTGTATTTCTTAATATTTAAACGTATATTTTTTAGAATTCCTTGGGGGGTTTCGCTGTTAGAAGTTGACTTGAAAAGCGTGTGGCGTGTGCGCACTTGAAAAGCGTCGACGGGCAACTAAAAAACGCAAGCGAAACAAACCAAAACGATTTTAAATATCAACGGAGATTCATTAAAATTAACAGCGGTTAACAGCAACAACAATGAAAAGAAAATTGTTTTTGTTGTGTATTGTTGTTTGTTGTTGTACTGAACGTTTTGAGCTGCGGCGATAACATCTTAACTTGGCCGGCGACTGTGTTTTGTTGTTTGTTGCATTTGCCTCGAATGCAGCAAGTTCTACAATTTACTCGTATTTGTGGCAGCTGAGTGCGTGGGGGCAGCAAATGACGGACGCCCCCAGCCCCCCTCTAATTGCCGCTAATCGCTTTACTAGCATCTTTAGTTATTGTTGTGCTTAGCTTCCGTTCTATCTTCAAGATATTACAATGAACTTTTATCGGCGCTACTGTAGTTAAAAGTTAACTATTTGCTGGCGAGGGTGGTCCTAAAAATGTGGACTTATCAATGCCAATAGAGCAGAACGAACAATGCTTTAGGCAAAATTTTAATAAATTTTAAACTAAATCAAGCTTTTTTATCAACGCAATTAAAAATGTATTTAATTCAGTATTCATCGAATTCCTTCAATACGAAGTAAAAGTTACGAAGATATAAAAAGCAAAAGATTGGTGCAATTAATGTATTATAATATAATATATTATCTTACTGGGAGGCCTTTCAAATTGTGACATAGCCTGCGTTGCATAATCATAACACCTTTCTGGAAATATTTGGAATAATAAATTTATTAGAAAACTATTGTATAAAGAGATTTGTCTTAGCAAAAAAAAAAAAAAAAATAATATATCTTCACAAAGTCGACTAAAAGAACATGCAGATAGTATTATTTTGTCATCGTCTTATTATTATTATTTCCCATGCGCGAGTAAAACACGACTTCACAGTTTGAATACGTGACGCAAAAATAATTCACAAAAAGGATTCAAGAATATTCAAGATTCAAAAATATTCCTAGCACTTTTGTTTTTATGTCAAGCAATATTATTTATTAACAAATTTGTTATTGAACCACAGTAAGGAACTATTTTCATTATATTTCATTTCATTATAATATTATTGACTATATTCATTTACACTTACAAGCTTATTCAAAAGCCTCCCTCCCCCTAGACTATTCACAGATGCTAATCTATTACTAGAAAAGGTGCTTATTAAAAAGTTATATTTACCCTAGCAGTACATTTTTATATATAGTATGTACACGCAACAAAAAATACGATTCTGATATATTGAAGTAATGCCATCTGCTAGAAAAAGATTTAAAAGGACTTCCCAAGAAAGTTGCAGGGCTTACACTTTTCGATATAATAAAAAATACGAAGTAATGCCACCCTCTGGAACAAGATATTGAGTGCAACCCTCGGCGTTGTTGTTAACATTTAAACACTTAATTTTTTGGGCTTTTCATATTGCTCTCACCATTAATCATGGGATGGCGTCGTTGTCTCCGCAATCGTTTGGCATTTGATTCTCGTGGCTATGGCAATTATATCGTAACAATTTTGACAGCACCAGCGATTATCGTGGCTATCGTCGTTATGGCTATTGTCATTAAGTGGAAGCTGCGGCGACATCAACCAAAAGACGTCTGTGTGGTTCTGTTTCTGTTTCTGTTCATGTCTCTGTTGTTATTGTTGTTGTTTTTGTTGTTGTTATCTGCTATTCAAGTTCAAGTTGATGTTTATTGCGCTGCTTTTAGATTTGTGTTTTGGGGGGTTTGATTGAGTCCCATTAGGCAAATGTTTTAGGCAACAAAAAATAACATTTTGCTTATTAGACTTTGTTTAGCTTAGGCTAGGTTTACACAAGCAAACTACTTGTGTGTTGACATAAATATAAATAAATAATTCCTTTGCTATACATTTATTTATTAAATTTGTAAATATTTTAAGTAGGAGTAATTTTTATTATTCGTACCTTACAGTATAGTTTTGTGCGCTGATTTCAAAGGTGATTTTCAGCTTTTAAAAATATGTGAAATACTATTTTCGATTTACTCATTTCTCTGTCAAAATAAAATATTTTTTTTTTTCATCTATTTTTTATTATACGACAAAAAGTATATGTACATATGGATTCGTTTTCCAAAAAGCTACCTTTAATTTGTCAATTGTAACATGGATATAGCTTAAAAGAATAATCACTTTTAATCTCAAATTTGCGATTCTATAACAAATTTTACAACTACACCTATTGCTAAATACTTATTGGATTTATTAGTATAACTTGTAGCTAATATTTTTTGATTCATTTTATATAAGGGCGACTGGCGAAAGTAAATACTAACCAGTTATTTCTGATTGTTAACTTCTGATTGTTAAAGCAGCAAATTGGCAGAAAGTTTTTGAAGTCATTAATGTGTTCTGAAAATATTTAGGATTGGAATAAGAACAACAATAAAAACTTATGTCAAGTAAAAACTGTACTTAAATTAAATTCAATGGAAATATAAAATGCTAGAAATATAAAATCTGGTAATTGCATTTCAAAAATAAATTTACATTCAGCCTAAGTAATAAATATAGAGACATTAAATCGTAGGTGGTTTTAAATTTTAGTAAGTAATGGTGTTTTTTCGATACTATATACTATAATTCCGTACAAAGTATGATAAATATAAATTGTGAGGGCGTATGCGATAATAGGAATAGAATAAATTAAAAAGCAAAGCATTGGAAAAAAAAAAGGTATATAGTACATCAAATCAGTCCAAAACAGGTTGAAAACAGTCAAAAGACAATGTTTTTTGCAAGCATAAAAAAACACACATAGCTGAGACTTGTTTGAAAATATAAAATTATTTTCTTACAAGCTTAAAAAAACATAGCTGAGACTAGTTAGAAAATATACAATTATTTTCTTACAATTTTTACATCTCTAGTGTCTAGTTTTTAATAACCCCACCACTTTTTTAAGTTGATTGTATTTTCTCTTTTTTGTGAAGACATTTATAAAAGTTATTGTAATAATAAATAAATAATAAGCAGCAAAATTAATATAGAGAATAAAATATTTTACGTAACCCCTGAAAAACAATTCTTAGTGCACAAATTGCTTTAATTAGATATATAACCTAAATATTTGCATTAAAAAGGTAAAACTCTTCTTTTTAGTTTTATTTATTTATTTTTGTAATTAATTATCAACCCTTAATTGGTTGATTTATTTGTGGTCCGCAGACTTGTTTTTAGATAAACCAAATGTATTTCCAAGTATATAGATACTCTTATAGTAGATCAGGCAAAGTATAGCATTCGTTAGAAATATTTTTGTTCTAGGCAGCAAAATAACAATTTATTTGATAACACCCTTCCAGCATTTCTGATGTAGTTGTAATATACGTAGTGGCTGTGCATTATTTTCTGCTAATGCCACATTTTCCGCTAAGCTCCAAAGCTGCCGCATTAATGAACTTGTGGGACATTTGTCAAATTGCATAAACTAACCACCACGCGGAGGGCAGGCCGAGGACGAAATGGAAAGAAAGGAAGTGGGTGGTGCTGGGCCCAGCATTGATGACTGGCTTGAAGAATTGCGAGTGAGACACACATGTTGGAATAATAATGTCAGGCCAAATAAATGTATAAGCCATAAATTTCTCCATTTGCTGGCCAAAAGAGTGAGTGCGAGACTGGCCCATTGGGCAATTAATTAGCAATTGCATTTGGTGCTGTCATTACGTGTGATAATTAAAAGGGGGCCACATGAGTTGGTTCGGCGGTCAAGTGGGCAGACATACTACTTGTACATACTATGTATATATGTATACGTGTATCTGTACAAAAGAAATCCTAGCAAATGCCCGGTCATAAATTTGCCTTGGCCCTGTTCGCCCCGCCCCCTTCTGCGCCCATTCAGTTCAACTGCACAAATGCACTTTAATCTCGAATTTATCAAGCGTAATAGTGTTGCGGGCCAAGGGGGGACGACGAGCTCCACCACCACCCTACGGCCGCACACACTCTCGTAATCTGGCGCGGATTAGATGGACACACACACATGGCACACCCCCATATACACGGACAGGGGGGTGGCGGATGATTGCACGTGGTCCTAGGTGGAAACCCATTAAACAGATGGATTTCGTAGTCAACATTTTTAATATACTTGTACTTTTGTTTTAGTTGTTGGTATCGCTGCCATTGTGACGTCCAGCACTGACATCTAGTGCTCGCAAGTGGGCCAGGCCATTGTAGGGCTGGGCTCGTCTCAACTCGGCCTGACTTGGCTAAGCAGTTTCTTAGTCATTTACATAAGGTTTTTCTGCCGGCTTAATTTTCATTGTTTGTATGCATTTATGTTGCAAACGGACGGATGGACGAATGGACGGACGGCTCGCTTCACTGGGAAGTTCAAGTGCGTGCACAGATATACGAAAATACACAGACTTATGTGTACGAGTATGCATAATGCCTGCAAAAACACTTTGGAATTATCTTAAGCAAAGCCGCAAAGATTATGAATAATTTAAAAAAGCTGCATAAGCATAAGCAAATGTTTTCGCAGCACTCTTTCAGGGGTATGCTTTAAAAATAAACACAGATTTTAAATGCATTGCATAATATCAAAGCCTAAGAGACAGTGAACAGTCGATATGAACGCTTTAAGTGCATTTTAAATGTTGTAATCAAAGCTTTTCCAATTTCAATTAATTGTGCGACTTTTAAATTAGTAGATGATCTCAATTCTAACAATTGCTGAGTTTTGTGGAAAGTCGAAAGGAGAGAAAAGCCACCCGATATTGTAGAACAGCAGACACTTTTTCCCGTATTCCCGTTGTTGAACATTGTTTAATAAATGAGTGAATTCAATATATACATTTCATGTAGAGAGTAGAATCATTTAATAATCATATCCAAAATAAATATCACTCCTTCTTAGTAACTCATAGCAAAAAGAAGGGTGTATGTGTGTTATAAAATGTATAATTTTGAAAATTTTTGTAAAAAC